ATCATTCAGACAATCATGTGCTTGCAGAATCGGAAACAAACGACGAGCATGTAATGCATATCCAACAAGATAAACATCAAGATTCAACAATCATCATCATGCAAGCGAATATGCAACATGGTCAACACACCAAGAATACAACGCAATGATCATAAAAGTTAATCAATGGAAAACCAAAAGTTGTGTGTCAAAGAAACTCAAGCATGCTATCAAGAACGATGCAATAGGTCCAGAACAATCCACATATATGCATCATATTAATCCATGAAGTTTAAGGATGAAAAGGAAACCAAACAAGCTTAAAAATGCAAGAAAAAGGAATTTTGTCTCAGTGTTAATCGATTACCAATATGTGGGTAATCGATTACCCACTTGAAAATGTCAAAAAAACACGTGGAAAAGGCAGGGTAGTCAATTACCCATATTGTGGTAATCGATTACCACTGAGACAGTGGCAGAAATTCAACTTCCAAAAATCACTTTCAGCAGCAGATGATTTATCCAATCATCCAAATGAACAAGCAAACAATTATGCACGAAAATTAGGTCAGATCACAACAACCAAACACCAATTGCAACAATCAAACAACAAGATCAAAGATCAAAGCAAGCAATGGATCAAATATCACCAAAAAGCCAAGGATCTACATTGTGAAATGTAAGATTAAGCAAAAACATAATTAGATCTAGTATTTACCAACCTACAAAGCTGAGAAATGCTTTGGTGAGTGTTGTTAAACTACAATTAACAGATCCAAGCAAGAAATCCAAGGATCTATGAAGCTATAGCAAGAAAACTTGAAGATCCAAGCAATAATCCACATATAAGTAAAAGCTCTTCTAAAATTGATTCCAACAACTTAAATCAAGATCCAAATGAATTCCAAAACTAGAATTGAACCAAGGATGATGATGTAATGAAGGTTTAGCTCAAGGACTTACAAATTTCAATGTACAACTTGTGAAGCTTTTGGCTATGGAGCTTTTCTGAGGGTTTTGGAATGAGAGAAAAGTTAAGAGAATTGAAGTGAGATGTGTAGAAAATTCAGAAAAATGAGTGAGAGTTATGAGAGGTTTGGAGTGAATTTGTTTAAATAACCCCTATGTTAGGAATTAAAATGTAGTTTGGAGTGTGAGTTGGTGTTTGGAATGGAAATTAGGAGTGGAATTAGGAATGTAAATGTTTTTTGAGGGAATTGGAATTAATTTGTGAAAATGAATCAAATTTAAACCAATTCTAGATCCTTCTATTGATGCACATGGAAACCACATGATCAAAATGAAAATCAAGTGATGCAGTGCTGAAAAATGAACAATTTGGGAAAATTTTGCTTGAGGTAATCGATTACCCTGATTGTGGTAATCGAATACCCTAATATTGGTAATCGATTACCACATTCAAAATTTCAAATTTGGCGCCACAAAGAGGGAAACTTGGAGAATTGCCTGTTGCCACCTGTTATGAGCATAGTTTGGCCTCTTAAACTTGTCTTTTGATATTGCACTTGTATAATGCCTGAAATAAACTGTGAATTATCTTCTGTCCTCAAAATAACCTACTGGAAAATATAATCAGGTGCTCGATTACTAAGAAAAATAAATGCTGAAGCCTCTGATGCTTACTGCTTAATACTTGCAATAAATGAAAACCTTGAGCCATAGAAACAAATTGATCCCATGTCTCAAAAAACAATGCCATGATATGCATAATGATAATGCAAATGAACGAAGTACAAGTCAGTTATGGTTAAAAACAAAAAAGGTAAATTTTGGGGTGCTACACTTTCAACCTGGTAGATCAATCAGCCATTCTGCAAGAGACGAGGGTGAGATCTTATTTATTTCCTTATGGGTTGAGTTTATTTATGGTCAAGAAACAAGGTTATCTCTTGGGGTGGGCATATTATGTCAGTAATTGGAGTGAAACAAGGTGACCCATTAGGGATGCTCCTTTTTGCCCTTATGTTACACACTCTTATTTATTCGATCAGTGACAATTGTAAGCTTCTTATTCATGCTTGATATATTGATGACGAGTGTAACACCCTTTTCTATCCCACAAATATAATGGCAAATCAATGATATTTATCAGAGTAAAATATTGAATGCAATAAAATCATCTCAAAAGGGCGCACATTTCTCAATAATTCAAATATAGTCAATGTTCCTTAAACAACGAGTTTTCTCAAAATTACTCAAAAATTGTTCAAATGACAGCAAAACTCAAAAATGAAAATCCAAAGTTTTCCTTGTACAACAACATAATCAAAATAACAAAAATAAAAAAACATGGTTTAACTCAAAAACCTCAACCTGATGTTACACTATAAGAGCAAGACCCTCTAAGTCAACCAAAAGTCAAAAACTCCAAAAAGTCCTCGACGACATTCACGGCTAAACCTGGTCATCTGCACGTTACCCATGTGGAGGTAACATTTAAACAGGCAGGGTGAGTAAAACGATTCATAATAATCAATATAGGAACCAATATATAAAACAACATTATTTTCATATTCAACATCATCATAATCATCAAGGAACATCAAAGGCCACAACATTATAAATTACACCAAATTGTCACATAAATGTAAATGCAACAAGACTCATGCATGTGGTACCAATCAATAAAATTCGATGGACACTGGGCCATCAACCCTCCATAGATCCACAACACTAGGATCAATTCTACACGAGAACCAGAGCACAACAAAATACCTCACATCCGCATAATGGGACTGAAGTCAGAAGAATCAAGGTCCTAGACCGAAGTCTGAAATGCATATGAATGCATGATGCACACGTTAATATCATACTCATAATAATCTCATTAGGTGCATTATCATTCATCAAAATAATCATAATAATCATGTCATCATAGAATCATCAAAGCCTCATGGAATCATCGTCACAAATCATCACAGTCCCTCACGGGGATTCATCATGCAATCATGTATTAATCTCATAAGAATCACAATTATACTCATGGGTACTCATCATACGGTCATGTATTAATCACATAGAAATCACAGATATACTCATAGTAATTCATCATACATTCATTTAATCACATAGGAATCACAGTTATACTCATAGTAATTCATCATACATTCATTTAATCACATAGGAATCACAGTTACACTCATGGTAATTCATCAGGAAAATCACAGCATCAAAACATCAAGACATCACTGAACCAGACCATAATTCACAAAACTCTGCTACGTTCGCTGGCAAGTTCGCCGTGCGAACTCACGATTACAGCAAATCGCTGCTACACAACAGTAGCAAAGTTAGTCCAAAGGTCCATATGATTTCCTTCCTCAATGTCCCAAAAACATCCCTAAATCATTCCTAAGGTATTACGGTGATAAAGACACAAAATCTACGACTTATTAAGCCAATCCCGTATCATATTTACGCCTCCAATTCCCATAATTTATTACAAGTACCCCACACTCATTAAATTTCTCACAATCACTTACCCTATATGGTTAAACACCCTCAGCAGCAGATTTGGCCATGAAGGCCTAATTTCCCTTACTCTCAAATCAGCCTCAACTCTATCAAACCATCAATTCAAATCCCTCAAACTCATTAAACTCACCAGAAAGGCAACAATAATTCAATACTCAATATCCCTAAACCCTTAAATTGGCTTTAAGTACATTGAATCATATATTGAAAACAATGAAGGTAATATTCCCCATACCTTACTTGCCGACTCTAAGCCTTTCTCCTTGATTCTTGGAAACCTTGCGAAGCTTTGCCTCAATCCTCTTCCTCAGAGCTCTGGCCTCTATTTCTTCCCTTTTCACGGTCTAACAAGAATAAATCCTAATTCCCTCAAAATTCCTTTTTGTTAAACCTAACTTTGAGCCTTAAAATGGGCTTTCCAATTTCACTCTCACTAACTCCTCCTTAAAAGTCCACTTTGCCCTCAATTCACTTATATTTATTTAAATTAATAATAATACCAATATATTCATATTATGTGCTATTATTTAAATAAATAACTTAAAATCCATAATTCTCAATATTCACACCAACCATCGAAAATCACCAAAAATACAAATATTCATATTTAAATAAATTAAATAAATATTCCAATAAATTTAGAGTGTTACAACGAGACCATCATAGGGAATTCAGATGAGGTGGCTAAATCCCTTGACATCATTCGGGAGAATGATCCAGGATTAGGTATTGAATTGAATATTTATAAAACTGAGATCTTTTGGCCTTCGTGTGATAATAAACTTTGTAGGGAGTTGTTTCCTTCAGACATTAGGTGGTCGATATTAGAGATGGAGTTTCTTGGAGGGGCTGTTACTTGAGATGAAAGCTTTATTGAAGAGTTTTCCATGAAGAGAGCGACTGGGACAATTGAGTTAATGCATCTTCTACCATAACTAAGGGATCCTCAGAGCGAGTTAATTCTACTTCGTTCTTGCATTGGTATCGCCAATCTCTTTTTTTGCCTTAGAACGTGTCAACCTAATCATATGGAGAAAGTAGTTATTTGGTTTGATAAAGAGTTCTGAAGGGAGGTTGAAGACACTGATGTTGGTGGAGGTCCTTTCTTCAGGGACCTTCTATGAAGGGTGGCTTTTTTACCTATTAGATTTAAGGGATTGGGTTTGTAGTCAAAAGTAAAGGCTACCTCATACGCGTTTATGGCTTCGAGGGCCCAATCTTGAGTGTAACATGATCATATCTTGAGAGACAATGTGATATATGGTATGGATCTAGATTTCGATAGAGCTTTGAATTGTCTTAGTGTTATGATTCTAGATTTTGACCTTAACGGTTTTACTACAAAGGACATCGTCCCTCCTAAACCACAACATGTTTTGGCAAGTTCTCTTTTTAGTAAAAGTGTTAAAGACATGGATGTAAACTTTAAAATAAACACAAAACATAAATAATTTTTTGGTTATTTGCAAGCAACACATGGTCAAGATTTTCTCCTTGCTATCCCTATTGACAATCTAGGTCAACATATGTCCCCGGTAGAGTATCGTACCATCCTTAAATACTGGCTTATGATTTTCTTATTTCGTGTTGATGAGGTTTTCCATTTTTGTCACAAGGAGTGCTTGGATACATTTGAGGAACATGTTATTCATTGAAAAGAGCTGACAAGATTCAAATATTGACATGACTTAGTTAGGGATGTCCTATTTGATACATTTAGATGTGTTGGGGTATCTGTGAAGAAAGTGGTCCCTGTGAATTTCTTGACAGATCCACTAGATGGGAAATCGACTCTTAAGCCAACAGATGTTCTGATGTATGAGTGGGTAGGAGAGATACATGCATGTTTAGACTTGACCGGAGTTTCCCCACAGGTGGGACTAAGGACTGGTGGTTTCAATGTGGAATAGGTAACTCTCAAAGCCACTTCAAGTACAATGGTAAAACATGAGAAAACGTGTTCTAACAATAAAAAAGATTTCATACCATTTATCTTTGATGCTTTTGGTTTTCTAGCACCAGAAATGGTAGATTTTTTATAGAGAGTGCAAAGGCTCATGTATATCAACATTGTGTCTCCTAGGAAAATGAATGTAGTTTTTAAGAGGATCAATTGGGTCATCCAAAAAGGGGCATGTGTCGTGTTCTTATTGGTTACATAATTTAATAACCTTGTTCCAATCATGCTTTCTGATTAGGTATCCTTCTTGAGCAAGTCCACCCCATGTCTCACATGTTTATAATCTTCATATGTATTACAACTAAGAGAATGACATCATCAGACTGACATCACGATAGTGACAAAATTACTCAATGACCATTTGATATAATGGTCCATAGACTTTAATCATCTTGATTTTACGAGCACTCTTTATTGGGAGGCTTCATAATAATTTTGAGCTTGTAATAGGACTAGAACAATATCCACATGGGCCTGGTTTGGAAGAGCGAGGTCGAGTCTTATGTAGATGTGAGCTTGTATGGAGAAGAAATTTTGGTTAATACATATGCCACCTATCGGGCATCTCTACTTAACTCCTTTATTTTCTTTAGGAGGTCGATGGAACCTAATGTTGTCAGTTTTAGGAGGACCATATGATTTAATACCACCAATCTTTCTTGATCCTTATTTTAATTTTGGCATACTTTGCATCTTTAGTTGGTTGGATTTGTTGTAATCATCTCAATACTGATGCTAGATGTCTCTCTAGATTGCTTTATGTCTCATGTAGGTTTGTCCATAAGATTTATAGGTTTGAGGTATATTAAATGCCCCACACCCTTATATTTAAGCGTAATATTTGCGTTATAGGGAATTGTCTGCTTAATGATTTTAGGAGGACTATAATGAGGAGGACGATATACCCACTCAAGATCGACTAAAAGGAAATTCGCCAAGAAATATCGGTTCAAATTTAATTCGTGAGATGATAGTGATTTATAATAGAAGGAATTCTTCTGCAGTTGATACAACGGTAATTAAACGTACCTGATCAGAAGATATTGCTAGCCGCCGCGCGTCGTCGATCTAAAAGCTGTTCACCGGAGGTAGGGAGGTGGAGAGGGGTGTACCTACAAGATACTCTAATGCCAAAGTAAGTAAAGGATCAAAGTGAGAGCAAATACAGAAGAAAGGTGTAGAGAATTGAATACCTGGCCCTCTAGTGAAAGAGGGTATTTAAAGTGAGACCCCAGCGCAGGGCCAACGGTCACTTGCATTAGGCTGGATGGCCAGGCCCAACCCAAGTGACTGCTAGGGCTTACGTGGCGTAGTGAAGACCAGCAAGTGGTCTTCGCCCTAGATCAATTGTCTTGTGATCTCCGGAAGGTGGGCTGACCTGCTCTTTCGGAGGTGGGTAGTTGTCTGATGACGTGCCCTCATAGAGGGTGACATGTGGAGAACGTGTGGAGACGTGTTGTTCTTCCCGAAGGGGGAAGGGTGCCTGCCCGACATGTCTAGAGTCGTGCCCGACACTAGGGGATTTGGGACTTATTAGGCCTTCCTCAAATAGTGTTGGGTTGGGCCTGTCTAACAGATGAGAAGGTCTGGGCCCAGTCTAGAACAGAAGCCCTCCAAGTCATAGCTCCAAAGTAAAGAAGCGATGACTTAACGATAACTGTGTCAGGGATGAAGAAGGCGCGAGGAAGAAACTTTGTCGGAATGCTGTGTCGAGGAGGGGGAGAAGGCGCGAGGAAGAAACTTTGTCGGAATGCCATGTCGAGAAGAGGGAGTGTTGGCGCGTCCTCGCTTTCCCGTGCACGCGGGGGAGGACGAAAGGACGTGATTGCTCGCGGTAGCCATGTGTCTAACCACCAATGGGTCATGAAGGGCAGCTACCCTAGGGTACTCAAGTGCCTAGGGGCACTTCGAGTCCCGTGTTGGGTGTATAAATAGGTAGGTGCCTGCCCCTTTATCACTTTTTGCATTCTCTTGCTTTCTCACGTGATACTTGGATTTCCACTCACGCAGTTGCTCATCATCTCCACCGCTACATCCTCCGCGCACTCCGCCATCTCCACCAATCCAGTAAGTTTTCTGCCTCTATTCCTCCGTTTTCTTTAAATTTGACGCCCTTGTCGAGGACATGATGAATGCCCCGAGGAGAGCAAGGGTTTTCTGACGAATACAGAGGGATACCCTTTTACCTGGGATTAAGGCCCCAAGGACAGTTAGGGCTATATGATGGATGTTTCGGGGGCGGTTAACAGGATATGGATGGGTACCCCGGGGACGCAGCATAGTGTTAGATGAACACTTCGGGGACGTAGGATAGGGTCAAATGAATTCCTCGGGGATGTTGAATGGGATTGGATGAATACCCCGAGGAGGAATGCCTGGGCGGAGATGGACGGCGCGGGGACACGAGCCGCCGCCGAGTTATGGTCATTGTCCCCATCGCTCTTTCACTTGATTTGTGGTGGAAGGGTGAATTTGATCTTGAAACATCGAATTCACCATTTCCTTATGCTTTTCAGGTGAATATGACCTCGTGGGCGCCGGGAATCATGGAAGTTGTTGTGGAGCTGGATGCTCCTGCTGCCGAGGTGCAGGCCCACTCTGTCGAGGACTGGGTCGCCGAGGAACCTTTAAATAAGCCGTCCTGTTTTGTCGACAGCGACATCAACGCCTTCGCGACTGCCGAGGACCGCTGTGAGGGCTCTTCTGTGAGCTGACAGGTGTACCGACCACGAGACTATCATCGGATATGCTCGAGCTACGAGAAGATGAGGTTCCCCATGTATGAGTTCTGCTTCCGTAAGGCGGGTCTTCGGCTGCCTTTTACCGACTTTCATTTGGGCATCTTCGACTGGCTGAAGCTGGCCCCTTCACAGCTGCACCCCAATGCCATAGCCTTCATCCGAGCGTACAAGCTCGTCTGTCGGCATTTGGAGATCGGGGTCACTCTTACGCCGTTCTTTCGACTTTTCCACCTGCAGAGGAAGACAGTGGATGGCCGACAAGGGCGGGTGTCACTGAAGCAGCCGAGGAGGATCTTCTGGGCGTAAATGGACTATGTCCGGGATTTTAAAGCATGTTTCTTTATGGTCCGACCTGTTTCTTTTGCGGCATGCGCCTCCTTGTATCAACGAGAAGCATGTGAAGTGAGCGGGCAACGGGAGGAAGTTATGGTGCCGAGGGTGCCCTTGGAGTGGTCAGAGGAGCACTTCAAGAAGGGCACAAATCACTATATTGTAACACTCCAAATTTAATTGGAATATTTTAATTAATTAATTTAATTGAGAATATTCAATTTTCGATGATTTTCAGTGGTTTTGTGGATTATTGAGAATTGTGCATTTTTGGGGTTATTTATTTTGAATAATATTATGTAATATGAATTGATTAATATATTGTGAATTAAAATAAATATAAGATGAATAAGGGCAATTGGAACAATTCAGAGGAGTTAGTGAGGGTATTATGGAGAAAGCTCAATTGTGAGGCCCAAGACTAGGTTTAACAAAAAGGAAATTGGAAAGGGATTAGGATTCATTTGTTAGACCGTGAAAATTATTGAGACTAGATCTCTGAGGAGAGGATTAGAGGCTTCGAGAGATTCCCTGAAAGATTTGTGAAGGCTTTGAATCAACGATTAAGGTATGAGGAGTATTACCTTCATGATTTTCCATGTGTAACTTTTAATGTATTTAAGTTCGATTTAAGGTTTAAGGGTTTTGAGGAAGGATATGAGAAATAGTGATCTTTGGCCTTCGTGGTCTAAATCTGTTATTGTGAATCTAACCGTGGAATTCATTGGGGAAAAGGAAAAGTTAGGTCTTCGTGGCCAAAACCATGAATTGTTATTTGTCTAACCCTGAAGGGATAGGAATATTAGATAATGAGTAACTCTAATGCCTTGGGATAATTGTAGGGAAATTTGTGATTTAGGGCGTGAATATGATACGGGATTGGCCTAATAAACCGTAGGTTTTGTGCCTTTATCGCCGTAAGACCTTAGGGATGATTTAGGGATGTTTTGGGGGGCATTGGGGAAGTGAATCATGTGGACATTTGGGTGGATTTAGGTTCTGGTGCGTAGCATAATTTGCTGATATCGCACTGTTCGCCTAGCGAATAATGCTTCGCCTAGCGAACCATGTTGTTCCCAGACTCGCCTAGCGAACATGCCAGCGAACATAGCAGAGTTCGCAAATGTTGATCGTGTACAGCGATGCCTTGATGTTTGATTCTGTGATTTCTTTGACGAATTGACATGGGTATGACTGTGAGTTTTATGTGATGTGTACATGACTACATGATGATTTTTATGATGTATTTATTAGAAAACTATGATGATGTTACCATAATTTTGATGAATTATATGATGACTTGAGATATGATGATGACTGTGATGATGATGATTATGATGAATGATGATGCATCTATGCTGTTATTATGAGGATGATTATTGACGTGTGCATCATGCATTCATGTGCATCCGGACTTCGGTTCAGGACCTTGATTACTTTGGCTTCAATCCTATTGTGCGGATGTAAAGTGTTTTGATGTGCTCCAGTTCTCTAGTAGAGTCGATCCTATTGATGGGGATCTATGGAAGGTTGATGGCCCAGTATCCGCCGTGCTGTGATGATTGGTACCACATGCATTGAGTCTTGTTGCATTTGCATTTATGAGTCATTTGGAATAATTTATGATGTTGTGGCCTTTGAGGCCTATTGAAGGATATCAATGTGTTGAATATGAATATGACGTCGTTTTATATGTTGATTTTTATACATTGATTATTATGAATCATTTTACTCACCCTGCCTGTTTGAATGTTACCTCCACGTAGGTAACGTGCAGATGACCAGTTTAGCCATGGACACCGTCGAGTATGTTTTTGAAGTCTTTGAGTTGTTAGCCTTTTGGTTAACTTAGAGGGTCTTACTCTGATATGTAACATCG